TTTAAACCCAATCCGGATCAGGTCTAAACAGGCAGTCGGACATCCCTCTCACAATTCAGGTCAGCTGGCTCCCAACTGCTCACCTGCCTGCCTTCCTGATTGCCCCTAACCACTTCTGCCTGCCAGCCTGATTGATGTCTAACTGCTCCCCTGCCAGCCTGTTTGCCCCCAACTTCCCTCCTCTGCTAGTCTGGCCACCCCTAAATGCCCTCCCCTACAGGATTGATCACCTCCAACTGCCCTCCCTTGCAGGCCTGGTGCCTCCCAACTGCCCTCCACTGCTGACCATCTTGTGTCTACATGGGGGCAGGGATCTTTGACCACATGGAGGCAGCCATCTTGTGTGTTGGAGTGATGGTCAATCTGCATATTACTCTTTTATTATATAGGATAGAGGCTTGTTGCCAGCTGGTTTGCCCTGAAGGGTGTCCCGGATCAGCGTGGGGGTTCCCTTGGGGTGTGGGTGGCCTGGGCGAGGGGCCTGTGTTGGTTTGCAGGCCAGCCACGCCCCCCAGTGACCCAAGAGGAGGCCTTGGTATCTGGAATTTATTTACCTTCTACAATTAAAACTTTGTAGCCTGGAGTGGAGGCCTAGGCCAGCCAGGGCAGTTGGAAAGCTTTGCTTTCTCCATTGTGGGGGAAACCCTAGTCTGCTCTTTCTAGATCCATGGCTGCCACCACTTTTCTTAGGATTTATCTTCTACAATTGAAACTAGGCCAGCTAGGGCAGGCGAAAGCTTGGCTTCTGTTGCCAGGGAAACCCAAGCCTCCCAACTGCTCTCTGTGGCTGCAGCCATCTTGGTTGGGGTTAATTTGCATATTTGCTCTGATTGCTGGTGGGTGTGGCTGGTGGGTGTGTCTTGAGTGGAGTGATGGTTAATTTGCATATTATTCTTTTATTAGATAGTATTATGCTTATTTATTGCATATGTATTACATTTGCATGATATACATTATAATACAGCTAACATGCTCCCTACTCATATAACAAGGGTGGAGAATGTCCAACCTGTGGACCATATAAGACCCACAGAATCACTTGGTCTGGCCCTGCCAAGGCATTAGGGGTGAATTAACTAAATGTTTGACCAAATATAGCAGACTAATTTTTAAGGTGTTAATTTTGTATAGCCTGCAAATGACGTTATAAATATCCAAATGGCCTCTGACAGAAAAAGGTTCTCCACCCCCGCCATAGAACCTTAAAACATAGAGTAGCTCAGCAGCCACTTCCAAACCCCAAACAATCCACTACTCAAATTTGAAATTACATATTCATTTAATAGTTACTTACAAATCAAGCTTAGCTATAAGTACCTTATCTCATCAAATCTAAAACACCACTGCATTTTAAGGACTATTAATACTAGAAAGAGAAATGCTGCCAATTTATTACAAGAATCCATCATTGATAAGATACATCCCAATTTTAGAAATGTTATAATCTTTAAAAAAAATTTAAAATGTGGGTCTACCACAATGAAATGCCTGTCTTTCGGTGACATGAAAGTGTTCCCCTATACTTACAGAAATTACTTTGCTCATCCCCAATTATGGTTTTTGGAAGAACAAGCTTGATGTGAGAAAAATCAGTTTTTCATGGCTACATCAGTGCATTTACATCAGGTCCATCATGTTTTGAAATAAAGAGTTGGCTTTTAGATGCAATGGCAACAGATACTAGTATCTGAAACATCGCTGTTGTAATGTTTCCAACTACCCTTCTAAATGTTTTCCTGATTCCAAAACCAGGTCCATACAACTTGGTAAACACATGGAAAAGGCAGGTGGCACCTCTGAACAGGACAGTCAGTCATCTTCTCAACAAACCAGAGACTGCAAAAATAAATACATACATACATACACACATACTTCATATAAGGAGGCTCAGCCTGGCTGGTGTGGCTCAAATGGTTGGTGTGTCATCCAGTGCACAGAAAGGTCACAGTTTCAATTGATTTCTAGTCAGGGCACACACTCAGATTACAGGTTCTATACCTGGTCAGGTTGTTTGCAGGAAGCAACTGATTGGTACTTTTTCTCTCTGTCTCTCTCACTCTCTCTCTTTCTCTCCCCCTCTCTCTCTTAAAATATCACACAGCAAAGCATGTATTAGTGGAAAGGACAATGCAGAGTTAAACGACCGACTGACATTCTAGTACCTTTCTGATATTGGCTAGGAAACATACTGAGTTTATTTCCTCATTTGCAAAACAAAGGTATGGAATTGTAATGTTCACTTTCTCACATTAAAATACCATAATTCTCAGGATCAAAAATACTAGCTCATCTTCCCTATTTCTTATACAAGACCCAACTTATAGAAACTCTTGTGCTTAGGTTTAAAATGATGCTGATTGCTTTATACTTCTTGAAAAACTTTACTCAACTTTAAAGGTGCTTATAAAACCCTTAAACTTTCTTCTGGAAAGCCTTCCTTATTTTCTGTTTTATTTTCTCTCCCACTTCAACTAAATACTCATCTTTCAAAAGCTATAGAACTGGGTTTTTCCACTCAGGAATTTCTGAACATTCCAAACTGCCCCCAACAGAACTCTGAAAGACATCTACTAGTGTTTGAGGTTTTTTTTCCTAACTCAAACCAAAATTGCAATACTTATGCTTCCGCACAAAATGTACCATCAATTAAAACAAATTATCTCTGCCTGTCCGGTGTAGCTCAGTGTTGAGAGGGAATGAAATTCCCTAGCATTCCCAGTTTTATTACTAACCTCAGAGCCTAGCTTGTGACTACCTTTTAAAAACAAAGTTTGTACCGTATTGTTATGGGTGCTGTTTTTCTAGTGGGAGCAAAAGAGGGTTTAGAAATGTGACATGAGAAAGAGAAGATCTAAGGGATTTAGAGACTTTCATGCATTAAAAACTGTAATCTGTAACACCCCCCCCCCCTAGTATAGGAGATAATTTGGTTTAAGTATATTTTGTTGTTGTTTTTATTTTCATTTATTAATTTCAGAGAGCAAGGGAGAAACAAAAACATTGATGAGAAAGAAACACCGGTCAGCTGCCTCCTGCACGCCCCCTACTGTGGATGGAGCCCTCAACCCAGACATGTGCCCTGTCAGGGAATCAAACTGGTGACCTTTCGGTGCATGGGTCAACGCTCAACACTGAGCCACACCGCACAGGCAGAGATCATTTGGTTTAGATCTCAGACTTCTCAAATCCTTAGAAATTAACAGGTTAATCATATGACTAGTGTTAACTGAAGACCACTCCAGCAACAGAAAGCTAAACTAGATGGTCTCTTAAGACCTCATGGTCCTTCAAGTCTATGAAAAAAGGACTTTCAGTTCTGTGAGAGGAGGATTGCTAACTGTTGCTAAGGGTGGATTAAGGATCCTGATCTTTTTTAGACACTCTTCCTTTCTTCTCTAGATTCTCCAACTAAGACAGCAGGCTAGGATTTTTTAGAAACTCAAAGGAGCAAAGACCCCAGGAGATAAAGATACAGGCATAACTAATTCCTTTTTTCCTTCTGCCTACAACACCTTCATCTGTCCTTTAAATTATACCATAAGAATCTCCAGAAAACTTTCCCAAAGAAACCCAATCTTTTCCTACCTGCCAATGTTATGCCAGACCTTTGTCCTCAAGTGATCTGGTAACTAAGTGTGGCTATTGCCCACACACCCATCCCTATGCACTTTTAAAATGTAATCTCAAAAATAATAATAATAATGAACCGCCTCATCCAATATTCAGTTCAAACAGAATTAGAAGCAAAGCACAGGAAGAGGAGGAAAGTACCTTACTTAATGTGTATTTCAGCCTATGTGCTTTATATAAGCTGCTTCATTTATTCCACACAATGATCCCAGATCATCCTGTATGTCACCATTTTTAGGACGCACCTTTTTAACGTATCTTAAATCGGGATGCATATGACAGCTGATGGTGGGTCACAATTTTAATTACTGATCATTTTCCACTGTTAACGGTAGACAAAACAACGGTGCATCTTACAAATGATGATGTCTCCGATTTGCTAAAATACGTTCTTTTCATGGGATTTGAAACAGAAATTGCAAAAACAGTTTTAGTAGTAGAAGTGCCCAGGGTTATTACACAGACTGTAAGGACCAGCCAGACTTCAAACCTTGATGTGGCTGATTCCAAAGTCTCTTCCTACACAATCTCCCTAAAAACACAGAGACTTTGAACACGGCAAGAATTTCCAACAGTCAGCGCTACTCACAGGCTAGGAACCCTGGGTACTAAGTTTTCGGAAGCGGAGGGTTCACCCCGCCTGGCGCGGACAGTGCAAATAAATTGGTTAAGATCCCAGCCAACCCTACGCTTAATCTAGACGTCTTCTGGGCCGTGCTGCCTGTGGGTGCAGAACCCACCTCTTGGCTGAGCCTACAATCTACATTGAGGACATTTAGAAATGTAGGGCCCTTCTGTACAAGGGGCAGCCTTGGCCCCCAATTCCCTGAGACATACAGCCCTTACCTCTAACCCTGACGCCCACCCTCCCACCTCCTCATTCTGGACCTAAACAGGCCAACCTGGACGCCCACCCCATCCTGCCACTCATCACCGCGGGCGGGGCAGGAGCAAGGCCCCAGGTCTGCCAGGCTCCAAGGCCCGAATCCTGGCTCAGCCACCCTACGTGCTCCCCCACCAGCAGCCTAAGTCATGCCTCCGCCCCACACACCCAGCAAGGTTCCCTGCACCCCAAAGGGTCCCTGCCTCCGCCCCACACATCCAGCAAGGTTCCCTGCACCCCAGAGGGTCCCTGCTTCCACCCACATATCCAGCAGGTTCCCTGCACCCCACAGGATCCCTGCCTCCGCCCCATACATCCAGCAAGGTTCCCTGCACCCCAGAGGGTCCCCGGCACGCGGCCCGTCTCTCGCGGCTCCTGGGCCCTGGCCGACTCCGACCCCGAAGGGCCCGGTGCGGTCTGCAGGACGACACGGGCCGCCGGGCCAGGAGCTCGCGGGGCTGGAGAAGAAAGTCCCGGCCGGACTCACAGAGGAAGGAACGCGACAGGAGGCGGGCGGCTGCGAGCCCACTGCTACCGGAGGCCATGGTCGCGGCGGCAGCGGCGGCGGCCCGGCTGCGGTCACCACCAATGACAATTGCAGGCCCCCGGGACCTGTCAGAGGCCGCGGCCGGGGCAGGAGGGGTGGCCAGAGTGGGTGCCTGAATGGATTACCTCAGTAAGAGCTCTTCACCGAACACTGGGGGGGTCGCAGGCGGAGGAGAGAAAAAAATAGGTGCCTTAACAGAGCAGGGAACAATAACTTGGCTCTCCACCGGAAAACTGGGTTTGATTCGATGTTAACTACTACGGCAGCTTAGGGAAAACTCTACGCGAGGCTGGTCGGCGCGTGGCATTGTGGGGAATGTAGTCTTTTGAGGGCGGCGACCCGTTTGCAGTTTAAGTGGGACAGGTGGGAAGGAAGTCACTCTTGGGAGATGAGGTGGCGAAAGGAGTGAGGACACAGTGAGGCCGGGTTCCGAATAGCAGTTCAGAACTTCCCGTGGCACTGGGCCAGTCTGCACCCATTTTCCTCCTCTGGCACATGGAAAGGATAACACTCCACACTGCCTTGCGAGGGCCTGGAAGGATTACCGGTGGTAACAAGATAGTGTCCAGGGAGGGTAAGAACAAGCAAGACCGAAAGCTACTTTACTGACACTTAATTTCTTGGAATGTGGATCTTTTGGTAAAACATGCTATCATACCTAAAACCCTGGACTAGCCCTAAGTGAATGAGCGCCTGCCTCTCCCCTGGGGATCCAGGGGCCTGAAGTTTTAGGTCAAATATGGCCTCTCCCTCTTTGCACGAACCCAGTGGTGGGTAAACGCATTAGTCAATAGAGCCAAATATCAACAGTACAACGATTGAAATTTATTTTAAGAGCCGAAAACCTACTTCTTCGCATGGACCACGCAGTTTCAATTGCATTGTACGTGCGTGCCCGCACGTGGTATTTTGTGGAAGAGCCACATTAAAGGGGCCAAAGAGCGGCATGTGGCTCGAGAGCCGAGGTTTGCCGACCACTGCACTAACCCGTGGATCACTCCTCAGTAAGAGCTTTAGGAGGAACCTTGGAGAGTCCCAGAGTCAAAGGGTAAACAAGAGATGAAGCAATCCACCTCCCTGCCTACAATTGTGCTCCTGAGGTTGCTCATTATCATCAATGAAATTAAAATCCTGATTCACCTAAATAGTTATTACAATCTGCACTGAGCTGTCATGTATGAGTGGAATTGCCCAAGCTGATTGCCCATTATGTTCTCTACTAGAGGTCTAGTGCACAAATTTGTGCACAGGTGAGATCCCTCTGGGTGGCCTGCAGGGATCCGGCAGAAACCTGCAGTCCAATGCCATGTGCAGCTCCTACCTGCTGCTCCCACTCATCCTGGCCCCACTGCACCTGCCATGGGCTTGTGCTCAATCAGTCCTGATTGGGAGGGGCTTGGGCTGCCACAGTAGTGCTCCCCAGCTATGAGCCCTGAGTCTGGTCCTCCCAAGGGGAGTGGCCTATGGGATAGGGCTGAAACTGGCTCTCCAACATCCCCCAAGGGGTCTTGGATTGCAAGAGGGTGCAGGCCAGGTGGAGGGACACCACAGGTGCATGATGGGGAGGCGGGGAGTGCCCTCCAGGGCGTGTAGGGCCCTCACCCAGTCCCAATCAGCTGGACCTCAGCAGCAAGCTAATCTACTGGTCGGAGTGTCTGCCCTCTGGTGGTCAGTGCACATCATAGCAAGCAATTGAGCAGTCTTAGCATATCATTAACATATTATGCTTTGATTGATTAAACAGTCACCAGACAAATGGACACTTAGCATATTAGGCTTTTATTATATAGGATGATACAGGTATCTTCATCCCAGGTTGGGTTTGGCTGCATACAAACTCTCCCTCATCTAAAGAATCATGTCCTTATGATCACTTAAATCCTGTCAGTGGTTTCCAAGTAGGCCCAGTATGAAGATTTATTTTAAATAGCAAAGTTTTTCCAAAGCCTTCACATGATAATAGTTGTTTTCAGTTTCACTTAATTGGTAAAAATGAATGATGTCAAAAAGTGTAATTTTGGTATGATTTTAATGAATTATTTCCATGAGGACAGGAATTTTCATTTCTTTTGTATATTAATGTCTCCCTAACACTACTTGGCACAGAGGGAGAATCTATTCGTTGAATTGAACTGAATTGATTTATAGGAGAGATAGCATATACATTTGTTTGTTGAATCCACACACAGTGTTTGACGATACTTCAATCCCTCATAACTACACCTCCACTGCGATTCCATGGGTCATTGGTGACAGGCTATTGCACTAGACTCTACCTATACCACTCATCTTTATATGCAGACTAGAGGTCCGGTGTACAAAATTCGTGTATAAGTAGGGTCCCTGCAGCTGCTGGCTGGAGCCTCCCTTCCTCTGGCTGCCAGCCAGGGCCTCCCTTTGCACCCGCCGTGGCCTGGTATACCCACTCTCCTGCTCCACCATCCCACGTCAGTGCCCATCGTGGCTGGCAGTGCCTCCACTGCTGCTCGCTGCCAGTGACATGTCACTAACACCTGCCATGTTCCACACCGCCCCCTGGTGGTCAGCATACCTCTTAACTCCTGGTAGGTCAAACTGGCACCCGTGGAGACAATTTGCATGTTAGTCTTTTATTATATAGAATGGCTTTTGGAGTCAGGCAGACCTGGATTCAAATTCCAATTCTGCAACTAGCTATACAACCTGTGGGTCTCAGGTTTTCTCACTGAGATGGGGCTGAAGATCCCTAATTCAAAATAGTGTTGTGAGCAGTTAATGCATTAATATGTAAAGTCCTTAGTACCTTGTAAACATTCAGTAAATGACAGCTTTTGTCATTAAAGATAACTTTCTGCTTTGCATGGTGTAAAGATAGAACAAAAGGCCTTACTTTTTCTTTTCTGTGGCTTTCCACAATTTCTGAGAAGCACATGGCAATTAAAACACAAGCTTGTTAGTTCCTCTGATTCAAATAGCCCCTCTGTTCAAACTGCAAAGCAAGGTAAGCTACTTTCAAGGCTACATACTTGCTTGCCTCTCCTCCCTGCTGTTTTCACAACTCTGGAATAATTTGAAGCAAGGAGTCTCTAGTTAGTAGAAAGTTCATTTCCGCTGTTGCCTTCAAACAAACCTCTTTTGAACTCTTCATGTTACAGAAGACCAAAGAAATACCAAGCACGCTTCCTAGAGAAAGGGAGGGACCCCGTTTATTAACACTGTGACAGTCTAACTCAGTGCCTGGAATTCCTTTGTAGTAATGTTACGCCCAGACTTCGTGATCCCCAAGGACCACCAGGGAGCCGAGTCCGATGCAATAAACAAAAGAGCCTTTACCATGCTAGCATGGGCCCCCCCACTCACGCCGGCAGCATGGCGGAAGAGAGAGAATTTCTTCCAGTCTAGGGGTTTTACTCAGGTCGATGGTGATGTCACTGCCTCGGCTAATCCTGATTGGTTGGGTGAGGGCTAGGGATAACTCCGCCCTGCGGGGCGGAGTCGGGAGCTCATCCTCACCCCGCCCTGCCTTCTCAGTAAGATATGCAGACCTCCCTCCAGACCTGGCTAGGAGATTGGCATCATCAAAACAGCAGCATCCTGCACTTCTGTTTGAAGTCAGAACAGACATTCTGCATGAGGCAAAAACTGGCCAGGTTGTGTAAACTACCTGAGAAATACCTCAGGATGCCCAGGTCTTTGTCCTGAGGGGCCAACCTGGGAGTGACATACCAAAGGTGGGAGGGGTGGGGAAAAAGAGGTATAAGAGGAGGGACTGCCCCTCCATCGGGGCTCTTACCTGGGTGTTTACAGACTGCTGTGTCAGCCAAGGTTTGAGCCTGGATTCGAATCTGTAATAAACTCTAGCATGCTTAATCAAATTGGCTCCAGTGGTTCATCTCTTGGGGACGCGCTTCGTAACAAACACTAGTGGAATCCAGGAATAATTTCCAAATCAGAGTGAAAAAACTTGCAGAGAGCCTGCATATATATATATATATATATATATATATATATATATATATATATATATATATCCCGCTGGGGTTTTTGTCTTGCAGCTATGCCCCCTGCCCCCTTCCTGGTCCTGCAGGAAGCCCCCCAGGTGTCAGGCCACATCAAACATGTCCTGAAACCAGCAATGTGTCCTGGAACCAGCATAACAACTCTTTCCCCCTTTCACCACCCCCACCCCCTCAGGGCAGTACATTGTTCACAGTTCCTTGGCCTCTGCATTTAGATAACAAGTTCTGCAAGACCAGTTTCCTCCTCATTCATAACTTTTTCTCTCAGGATGTTTTACAGGCTTGGAAAAAATACTGATAAGACACCTCCCTAGGACAGCTGCCTGGACTGCCTCCTAAAAAGCAAACAAACTTTTCAAGACAACCTCCCTGATATCTGTTCAAATTGGGCCAAGGGTTCGCCTCACTTCCAGGTTGCTTAGCAACAGCCAAGGCTTAAAGGGGGGAAGCTGCCCTTTGTTTTCTTGCCTTGTATTGATTAGCAATCCTTGGTCCTTTCCCTTCCTGGAAAGTAAAATAAACTTCCTCTCTGCATCTCTTCTTTTATTTTGAATTCTTTCACAGCCCTCCTCACCAGCCAAACCCTAACACATAGCAGGGTGATGTCTTAGGTTTTTACTGCTATAGTAACCAGATGCTAAATAGGACATTTCCATTTGTCTCAAAACCTTGGCTAAAGCCCCAACACTGAGGGCACAGGCCATAAGTACCTGCACATTCTAAGAAGCTACTGCTGGGTGGCTCATCAGCCATAGAAATTCACTTCTCACAGTTTGGAGGCTAGGAAGTGCAAGATAGGGTGTCATCGTGGCCAGGTTCTGGTGAGAGCCCCCTTCTGAGCTGCAGGCCTGCGTCTTCTTATATTCTCATGCAGAAAGAGGACGAGAGGGCTCTCTGGAGTCCTCTCTATGAGGGCACTAATCTCATTCATGGGGATATCACCCTCCTGACCTAATTACCTCTCAAAAGCCCCACCTCCTGATATCATCACATTGGGATT